TCTACCATTTAATGGATCGTATATACTAAATATGTCCTTCCGAAGGATCATTTAAACGACCCAAAAGCATATCTTCACAAAAATTTCATCGTGTGTATATACTTTATTAAATTAAATTACACTTTATAAGTGAATTACATTCAATTCTGTTATAATTCTCGTTAATATACGAAATACTACTAATTCTTATCAGACACCAATAACAAGGAAACAATTTCAAAACAGTAATACCCAAAAATAAAAGAATATAAATGATAAGCTCTCATTTATAACCATTTATGTTTTTCCCTTTCATTATTATTTTTTGATAAATGATGTGCTAAACAATTCATTCCTTTGTATCGCCAACAAAACGCAATAAAAACAAGAAGCAAATGCCAAAACCACGAAAAGAAATCATTAAAGTGAAGTGGTAAATAACAAATGACAGATCGATTGATTTGACGCTTAGCACTAAACGCCTCATGCTACTACCAATACGAAATATTGGACATCACACAACAATGTTCGATGTTTGATCATTAACTTTTTACCACTTTAGTTCTTTTTTCGCGCTCATAAAAGATATATACCATGAAATATGGTGGACAGGGACGGATCTACTTACTGGAATCGCCAATATAATAGTCTATGCCAGAAAATCGATAATAAAATAAATAATAATAATAGCCAAAATACTAAAAATATGAATATGGTGTATTCATAATAAATGCGTTCCCTTGAAAAATAAAATACTATGGACAATAAAGTAGCAAAACTAGTTTTTATAGTATGAGAAACAGTTTGAAGCCTTGCATCCGAAGAAACCACCCCAGAAAACCTATAATACGCCTTAACACTACACCCCTTGTTCCGCTCCTGTACTTCATGCATCAACAAAGAACCACATCTCCACCCATTGATATGTTCGGCTACAACTTATTCCACTTATTCAGTCCTTTCAAATGCCTTCAGCAAAACTGAAGAGCTTGTGTTGCACGAAAACCTATCAATCGATCGCCATAATGCAACGCGATCACGACTCATTAATTATCCTTAAACGGTATGTGGCAGCAGTGGATGTTTGTTTGCATGCTGGCGCATTAGTCCAACTTCTTTGAAATAGTTTCGCTTGAGATGTTAAAGTTCCTTTCGCTGGTGCTGGTGGTGTTATTGCTTTGGCAGATACTTGTTTCTGCTCTCGTTAAGAGAAAAAAAACTCCACTTATTCTTAAGTTCGATTGATGCTGGCCAACCAACAACAGGTGTGCTGTGAATGGCTCATTTTTTATATTTCGAAAATATTGATTGATGTCGTGTTTCTGTTCGTACTTTGGAGAGGTTTATTTTTAGTGTAGACTAAGATTTCTAGCTAAATGGTATTTGAAAAATCGTCTATTTGTTCAATGACTGCAACTGTAGTGTATGAACACAGTGCTTAAGTACTCTTATGGGAATTTAAAAATAGCACTGTATTTCCGGGTAATATTTTTGGAAAATCGTAAAATGATTTTTCGTTCAATATAATACTTTTTGTTACTTCCTAAAACTACGCCTTATTTATTGTTCTTGTCATTTGTTCTGGTAGTACAATTTGTTTGTCCTTTTATCAATCTGTCCATGCTAATTTGTAATCACTCTGCATGTGCAATTTTGACCCGACCCCAACAAATTTTGGAGACTGGGTTAGGGTTAGTTGAACAGGAATTCACATTTTCCAATATTGTATTAAATGTTATTTACTACGATAGAGGACGGAAATATGAAGCAATTGGAACGTTATTATGACTGGCCCCGCCTTTAAGATCAAAAACCATGTTAGCTCTTTTACATGACTACACGACATCGTGTCGGGAATTTAAATGAACCAAAGTAAAACTTACAAGGGCATGAAGAACATGATAACTTGGAAATCAGAAATTTTTGATCTTTCCGGCAGAGAGAACTCAGAACGATCGTAGGTTTTTGTTAATAATTTTTTTCCAGGTATATGAGGATTATACGAAAGGTGAACCCAAAAACCACAAAATCTGGCTTTTAATTAGAAATGAACTCATTAGTTATAACTCCTAATAATAGAAAACTTTTTCTGTATATGTCCATGTTTCCCTGTAACAGTAACTCACGATAATCGGTATTTTGATAATTTTGTTCCAAATTGTTGCCGAAATTTATTGAAATTTGGTATTGAGAGTTTGTAATGGGTTTTATCACTGGTGGTTGATAGGTCCACGTTTTACTATATCTCTCATATAACGGTATCTTGGGATACTTGGCATGTTGTTGATTTAAGATTCATTTTTTTCTATCGAATTTGTCTAAGATATTTGTACTTCGTATTTGGTTCTAGGTTCAGAAAATTGTATCGGTCATTGTAGCACATTTATTCGCAATTTTTAATTTGGTTGTTACAGTTTTTTTATGGGCTTTACCTCTCGTGGTATATCATTGCTCATATAAGTCCACGTTTGACACGTTTGAACCACGATACATTTATTATTATTAATTTTTTTTTTTTTTTTTATTTTATTTTATTTTTTTTTTTTGTAATAAAAGATCGAACCTGCCGAACTTAATGTTTGCGTGTAGCCCTCAACAATCGTTATTTTGATGATTTTTGGCCAATTTTTCACGTATCATTACCATTACAGGGATGCTCAAAACAAAAGGTACAAAAAAGTCAATATTAACTATATCGAGGGTCCCCAGGTCGCCCCAATGCGCACGATTTGGTTTTGAAATTCCCTATCGGTTTGTTTAAAATTCGGTATTTGTAATTTGTAACGGTTTATAGCTCCGGTAGCAGAACATTTGCTATATAGGTCCACGTTTTCATATATCCCCTATATGACAATACATTAGGTCATTCCGTGTTTGAATTGTTGTAGCCACATTTTTCAACCGGACCGTTTTAAATTTGCTATTTGAAATTCGCCATTGATAACACCACCACTATAGCAGACGTTTTTATATAGCGCCCAACAATGCGGCGGCCGCAATGGTAATTGTACTGCCAAATAGATTTCAATGACATTTGCTGCTTAAAATGGAACCTGAACAAACATTGATCCAGGTGTTTGAATGTTTATATGATTTTCTTAATTTATATGGGAGAGTCATAAACCGTTTTTATACCCTCCACCATACATAGCATGGAGGGTATATTAAGTTCGTCATTCCGTTTATAAGTTATCGAAATAATAATTTAAGACTCAACAAAAAATATATATTTTTGATCAGCGTAACATTCTAAGACGATGTCCTTTCGTCTGTTTTCGTCTGTTGTAATCACGCTACAGTCGAAACCAATTAAGATAGGAAGCTAAAATTTTGCACAGAACTGTCCTTTGTTTACAGGCAGGTCAATTTCCACGATATTGCATATCCCCCATATAACGGCGATATTCCGTATTTTTTTGATTATAGCCACATTTTTCAATGGAATTGTCTGAAAATCCACACAATGAGTTCCTTGTGAGTATTTTATCCCTTGGAAGAGAATTATATTTATAGGTCCACGACATCGTATAGACCCCCACATATCATATAATATTCGATATTCGGAATTTTGATGATACGTCAAGGAAGTGGACGGGAGGAAGCAAGAACATCAGCAGAAATGGTTCGAAATGGAAAGAAGCGACTTGATCGAAACCCGCGTCGCAGTGGCCGAAAATGGCTCGTGAGCTGAACATATCGCACTATTCCATTCGGCAGATATTGAAAAATGAGCTCGGAGTAATGCAATTGAAATTCCAAAAAGTGCAAGAACTTACACCGCAACAGAAAGAAAATAGACTCAAAAGAGCTAAAGAGTTGCTTCGCTTGGCCGAAAGTGGTGAACTGCCGAATTTGGTTGGACATTCCAACAGGACTCAGCACCATCTCACTCTGCACGCACCATTCAAGAATAGTTACAAAATGAGGTTCCTCGCTTCATTTCCAGCGCACAATGGCCACCAAAATCTCCGGATACCAATCCGTTGGACTATTGTGAGTGGAGTATTTCAGAAAGCATTGTTGGCACTAAAAAATACCAAATTGTCGATCACCTCAAGCAAGCGCTTCACCGGAAATGGGCCAAAATACCGCAGAGCAACATTCGGGCAGAGTATGGGGGATTCATTGGCCGTTTGAAGGTCATAATACGTGCCAAAGGTGACCAATTTGAACAAATCTAAACTTATTCTAAAATTTGATGATATTTCCGACATTTTTGCTTTCATTCAATAAAAATAAAAAAAAAGCAAAAATTATTGCGTTTGATTTTGATGCATTTTTTTTTATCTCACCCTGTAGGGTGATACGTCTTCGTATATCCCCACTTAACGGCTTTCATTTAAGTGGTATTTTTGACGGATTTTTTTTTTTTTTTTTTTTGTTTTAAAAAATTTAAAATTTGTTTCCAAATGGTGGATGGTATAAAAAGCTGCTTAGCTGATTATTTACTTGTTCATGTTAGTTTTCAAGTTTCTCATTTATTTATTCGATTGTCCTCGAAAGGAGTACCATATTTTGTTTTACCACTTTATTAGCACTTTAGATCGATTAATACAGTATTGCCATTTTTTCATTTAACAACTAAAAACTACTAAAAGTTTGACCACGCCAAACTTTTTATAGCCTTTACGATGTTGATATATGGGGTCGAATTCTTCAAAACACGCAAAATTAGGGGTCTTTATATAGGGACTGTCACAGAAATTAGCCTAATGTCTAATATTATTTCAAGGAGTTTAACTACACACAGAGAACTTGAAATATTATATTTCAATTAATTTGGATGGAATATCATGTCAGAACCTTCAAAATACCTAAATATGGACCGATATACCAAATATCTTACACAAACATCTACGACATATATTATTATTTTATTTTTGTATTTTTGTTACGTCTATATTTGTTCAACAGGCAACTTTGAATTTTGTACTGACTAAGAATATATTGAATTTATGGGGTTTTTGATGAATAGATGTTATAAGCGTTTTGACAAAAATATGAAAAAAATATTCACTTACCGAATTAATATAGTCTTGGTTTAATTCGACTTTAAAATTTTGTTTCCAAAAAAAAAAAAAACGCCAACCAAACTCCTCCTCTTTCGGTTCATGTGTATTATAGACAGGTTCGCCTGGACTTTTTCTATTCAAAAGACTAACGCATTAGCCTAATTGCAGGATTTTGTTATTTATTACGTGGTCATTGAAATGAATGTGTACCAAAGCATTTATATTATTTATTTATATATTTACATTTATCTTCCATATGTTTTAATACTTACAAAAACTTTCCAAAACCGTTGCTGCAGAAAATCCGAATGCAACAAGTTGAACACTACGCTACTAAAACGGTACTGAAGTCAGACATGCAGTTGTCCAACATTAGGACCCACAAAAACTACTGGAATTCTTACATTATTCTACTGTTTGTTTGACAACTGCTACCTAGTTTCACATATGCAAATAGTGAAATCAATTGCAGAATTTTCTTGACCTATAGCACGACAATGCAAGGAAGGATTGGAAAAAGAAAGTGAAAAGACCATATGCAATAAAATGGAAATTGTTCCAGATTGTAGACAAAACAAAATCAATAGAATCCGTCGGATTAAAACTAATCTGGGAAAGTTATTTTGCCCGATAAGGAGATACGATGTCGTAGACGTGACCTTAGCATAACCAGCAGTGGGTCAGTCTTTGTTGACATAGTAGAAGGATTTCATTTTAAAGGGATTAACTTTTCCTTTTTCTCCCTCTATGTGGCAATTCTTGACTTTGTAAATATTTGCGTATGCATTTGTTACACAGCCACGCATTCACTACCCGTTCGTTTACTACACTCACTGCCAGTCAGACAGGCAATCAGCTTGACATCATAAAACAGAAGAGTCAAGGACTATAAAGGGATTAAGAGGATTTAAAAGTCAATTGTAGGCGGTATGTATTTAAATGTAGTTCAGCAATTGATCCTTCGATGAATGATGGACATCGAAATGGAAAGTGACAAATATTTGGGTGATGGTGATTGAATGTGTGTGTGATGTGTGTTTGTGCAGTAGATTAAATTCCCGAGGATGTTTGTTTAGGATTAGTATTATGGAAAACATACTCTTAGCCAACGTGGGAAGAATATATTCTTCCCAAAACTAAAGAAGTTTATGACTTTTCGATCAATGACTTGTTTTGACAGGAAATGATCTACATCGAGATCATTATTTCGGAATAAATTTAAAATGTATTAATATTTAATTTTTCTTATAAATCTTAAAGGTATTGTGTTTTTATGTGATACTAGTATAGAAGGCGGAAAGAATAAATAACTGATTTTGGGCAAAGTCAATAAAAATAGATAGCTTAAAAGTTATACTACTTAAATGTTAATGGATAATACATGCACTTACGATAATCATGGAAATAACATGTAAAAGATTATTTCCTTTTAGCAAATAAATTATGTATGTGCATTAAAAATATTCCGAAATTATGACCAGAGATCAAAAAACAAATATATATATAAATATTTTGCGATCATCTCCAAAAGCAAGACCCCCTACGTATCTCTAAATTTAGACGCATCAATATGACTGGCTGGTCTACGATATTTGGTTATATTTATCAACGAAATCAGCATAAAAAGCCAGAAGTTCACCTTTTTGTGTATTTTGGATATCGCCTGAAAGTTATTTTCAGCGTTTCGGCATAATGGAAATGTTCGTATTTTTCACACAAAAGTATTGGTCCATACAACACGCTGTCCTAAACTCAAACTTCACGCGAGATTTCGTGTCCTTTGGTTTCTATTTGTGACCTTTATAACGGTTGCAAAATTAGGAACAGTTTTAGTTGTTGGTCCATTTCAATATCCAGTTGTTGATCCATTTCAAAAAATATATTGCGGACATCTTTAAAAGCAACAGGCCTAACCCTTCTACCCTTATGAAACGATAATTGCAATCTATATATAATAACTCCAACCTGTGTTATACGGTGAAAAATTTTACAAAATGTACACTTCAATATTATGAGCCAAATTAAAAAAAAAACGCATGCGATAAAAAATATGAAACAATAAAAATTGTCACAAAATACTACAGATTCTATATTAACATAATTTTTGGAATAATAATTTTTGGAAAAACCGCATAGGTTTTTTAAAATTAATATTTTATGCCAAGAAGGCATTCTGAATTTACAATATTTGTCAAAATAGGTTCAGCCATTTTTGAAATATAAGCATTCTGGCTAAAATCTCTTTCCTTTGTATATATACATTTTATATATGTCTCTATAAATATCCGATATAATAACTATCGGCATCAACGTGACGGTCAGAATTGAGCTGTTCGTTTGTGATTTCGCCGGGATTAAAAATTTTCGCGGTTTAATGGAAAATTTGACTTTTATTTAACACAAATGTCTATGGTCAAAATGGTCTATTTCACCCACTAAATACTACGCGATGGCCATCAAAATTGGAAGGCTTCTGTCCAGCCCTAAGCTCTAGCCCCATGCTAACTTCCGTGTCAATTTGTCAATAATTGCGACCGTAGGGCAACTGAAAAATCAGGAAATTTTCCAGTTTTTAGTCCACCCCTAAATATTATGCGATCATCTATAGCAATAGGCTTCTATTCTGGACCTAGCCCCACCTCCATTCTAAATTTCGTGAAGATCAGGCTATAATTGCGATCTCTAGAGTGATAACAAATTAACATGGACAGACGGACGGACATACATAGCTAGATCGACACTGTTCGGCGAGATAGGAAGATCCATATATACTTTCCTATGTGAGAAACCAATATTTCGAGGTGATGTATAATTGTTGGCCCAATCGAACTCATAATACCCCCAACACATAGTGTTGTAGGGTATAAAAATAATAATCCTTTTAATATGAGAATTTTTTTATACCACTCGTATAAAAAATTATGAAAGCGAAATATGTTGTGAAAATTTAGCTTTGTTTTAGCAAAAAATCACAAAATTCAATTTCCTTCACATATTTTAATTTGAAACAAACATCACATCATCTAAAATATATCAAAATATGATTACTACTTTCTTTTAAATTTCACCGAAATTAAGATCTAGAAAAGGCGTGGAATAAAAAAAAAATAATGAATAAAAAGTTGAATTTGCAAACCATCTTTGTAAAAAATTATATTTAACGAAGTCACAAATAGTTTTTCTTACATTATCGCTTTTATGAAAATGGGATCAATAAAACTAAACAAACGGTAGGGCCACTATGCTAATATTATGTTACAAGGAGAAATTTGTCAGCATTGTTTTTACCTACGCCACAGTGTTATATAGGAAAGTCAACTTATGCGTGTCCACGTCCGTCTTTCCGTTCGTCTGACCATATATTTTTGTAGGAAAATAACGGATTTCATTTGTTATTGTCGATTGCAATAAAATTTATTGGTTTAAGAATTTGTTTGGTTTAAGAATTTGTTTTGTTTAAGAATTTTTCTTGTTGAAATTGGTGGTAATGGGTGTAGATTTAGATATAAATTTTATTTAGTTTCCATATATAACTTCATCCGATTTCGAAATGTATGTTTTGGCACATATGACAGATTTCAACCTAGATGGATATTTTTAATCTTATTTTCTGTTTACATCCCCAAAGCCGTAATATATCAATAAGTAAGCAATGATTATAGTCTTGCGGGGCCGACCATGTGATGCCCTACAACACTACAATATGTTCGAAGTCCTCTTATGTCAAAATGCATTTTGGAAGATTTCGTTTTTTTAAATAATGTCAAAGAGCCCTGCACTCCGTCTTGTTGTAAGGTATTCAAAACAATTTCACACGAAAGTTGTAGTCCATTTTACAGCTTAATATAACCCAATGGTCGTCCAAAATGCTAGACATCTTCCCTGACATTAACTCTTTTCTGATGCGAAATTCCATGTCGTTTTGTTTTCAACTGTGGCCAATAGAGCGACTACATAGAAATATGTAATTATACCCTACAACACTATGTGTTGGGGGTATTATAAGTTTGATTGGGCCAGAATTTATGTAACACCTCGAAATATTGGTTTCCCATATAGGAAAGTATATATGGATCTTCCTAGCTCGCCCAGCTGAGTCGATCTAGCTATGTATGTCCGTCCGTCCGTCTGTCCATGTTAATTTGTAATCACTCTACAGGTCGCAATTATGGCCCGATCCTAACGAAATTTTGCACGAAGGTGGGGTAAGGGTCAGAATAGAAGCCTATTTCTTTTGGAGATGATCGCCATATGTTTAAGTGTTGAAATGGACCAGATACTGAAAAAATGACTGATTTTGCAGTAGCTATACAGGTCGCAATTATAGACCAATCGACGCGGAATTTCGCATGTAGCTAGAGTTTAGGGCGGGGAAGAAGTCTACCAATTTGGGTGGTCATCGGATAATATTTAGCGGGTAAAATAGACCATATCTTTTTTGTTGAAAAAATTCAAAATTTTTCATTAAACCGCGAATATTTTAAATCCCGGCGAAATCCAAAGCCATGACAAGGTTACTTCTGATCTTCACATTGATGTTAAGATCCAACAAAACGGATATATAGCAAAATATGTGCGATATATATGTCTATCAAAGAAGATATGCTTCAAAGATCTCATATATGTCGAGAACGGCTGAACTGATTTCGACAGTTCTCATTAATTCAGAATGGCCTCTTGGCAGGAAAGAAAAAACTTCTAAAAAATCGCTTAAAAATATCTCTCTAAAGATGAAAATATTGATTTTGTAATATTTTCTCATATTTTTTCAATTTTGTCATATTTTTGGCATATTTTCATTTTGAATTAAACATTTGGTAATATTTCTAAAGCTAACAAAACTAAGTAGTTAGGATATCAGGATATCATATACAGATCGCATTTATGGCCCGATCCTTACGAAATTTTGCATGGGGATAAGATTAGGGTCAGAATAGAAGCCTACTTTTTTTGGAGATGATCGCCCTATATTTAGGGGTTGAAATGGACCAAAAAACTGCAAAATTGTCAGCAGGTCGTAATTATCGCCCGATCCTCACGCACATTTTAATGGGGGTTACCGGACATTGC